CGGTTTTAGGAAAGGGAAAAGCACAACATCACTTCTTGAGGATTTCACTGATGTTGTGAACGAAACTCTGGATGAAAATAACATTGGTTTAGCATTGTTTTTAGATCTGTCAAAGGCATTTGACACAATTAACCATCCAAAAATGCTTCAGAAGCTCTTTGCTTTGGGCTTGAGAGGACCTTTTTTTCAGTTCTTTAAGAGCTATTTTTCTAACAGAACGCAGAGAGTTAAGATAAAGCATTATATGAGCAAAACTGTAATGGTAAATTATGGAATACCGCAAGGATCATCATTAGCTCCCTTGTTGTTTAATATTTTTGTTAATGACCTGGGCACACTCAATTTACAATCGAAATTATTTATGTATGCGGATGATACGGCCTTAATTCTCCCACATGAAAATTACGAAGTTGCAGTAACAATATTTCAAAATGATATAAACGTATTAATGAACTGGTTTAATGAAAATAGGATATTTGTAAACTCGAAAAAGACCAAATGTATGTGTTTTAGGAATCCACATAAGCGAGTAGTTTTGGATCGTTTTTTATACCTATGTGAACCAAAAAGGGGACCTCAAATTTATACCGAAATTAATTATGAGACCAGCGTAAAATATCTAGGGTTGCATTTTGACGAACACATGACCTGGGAATATCACGTGGATTACATAAAAAAGAGGTTGAGAATTGTTTCTTCATACATATATCGTATTGGTACGGCAGCGAGTGCCGCTATAAAACAAAACATCTATCGTGCTCTTGGAGAATCTGTGCTCAGATATGGTATATTAGTTTATGGGTCCTGCTCAAATAACAGACTGCAGACAGTAAATAAATTGATATTTAGGATAGTAAACAACATTTCATATGGGACTCAGTTTCAACAATTAGGTCTGTTTCACAAACTTGAATCATTTAACATAATGCCATTGCATATTCTATTCAAATACATCGTTATAACAACGCATTATTTCTCTAGAACGGAATTCAAACAACCTGTTCGTAAAAGGCCCCTCAGAAAGGCGGAAAGGTTCTATTTGCCAAGAATACATACGCTCTACGGAAAAAGACTAAGAGGTTTCTACATTCCCTGCACTGCATATACCCGAAGAACTTATAGACCTAGGGTCTCTTAAATCAGTAAAAGACAAATTTAGAGCATGGTGCTTGCAAAAGTATATTTAGAACGTTTTATGTCTTCCTGTGTGCTGACCTTGATGCCTCTTGTACAGTGATTACAGTATACGTATTTAGGTATATGAATTTTAAGTAATATCCTCCTGATCCTTATGTTTGTTGCGCCGATGATCTCTTTATATTGTATAATTCTGTACTCTGGTATATGTGCTGAGTTTATGTGTTCAAATTATCAAGTATTTTAATTCAATAATGCCTGTCTCTATTGTGCGAATTGTGTCCTTTATGCTTCAGTTGCTATATAGCACTTACAGGAACTAAGATTTTGTGATGTATCAGATGTTCAGATTAGTGAATGTATATTTGAACTTTTGTCATTTGTTGTTTTGCTCTTTGCAGATGGAAGTCATTGTCCTTTCTTTTGTACTAGGCTTGAAGTTATCTTTTCTTTTTTTTTCTGATTTTGTTCAACGCGAGGAGCAGCTTTTGCTTAATTTAGTTTTGAGACTGCCGGGCCACGTCATACAAGCCTCATGGGCTTTGACGGACCCGAACTTTGTAAAACGAAAAGAAAACAATAAATTATTATTATTATTATTATTATTATTATTATTATTAGTAATTCTGCTTAAAAACGCAGGAAGACATGGATCATGGTTGTTATATCTGTAAAGGTCGCATGTGATTCGCCCAACGCTATTACGTCACTCTTGCTTACGTCTATAAAACAGACTGTCTGGCCGTAATAAAAACTCAGTACGTTCCAGCTACCCGGAGAGCCTGTCTGCCTGCGATGCTGCGATAGAACAAGTTGGCGACGAGGATGGGATGAAGGATCAGCACATTCCCCGACGCGCCGGCAACGCAACAGGGCCTGAACCGCCAGTCATCGTTCGTCGGCAGCAGGCTCAAGCACGGCCAGCGGAAAGGACCGGACGAAACACCGTGGAAAAAGATAAGTGGAAAGAATCCACCGGAACATGACGCAGCCACCGGCAGGGCATTTTTAAAGGCTCGGTAGCATGCGGGAATTTGATCCGAAGACTGACAACATTAAGTCTTATAACTTCGAGCGGTTCGACAATTACGTCGACATTAACGACGTACCAGAAGAAAAAAAAACTGAAACTACTTCTGAACGTGCTTGGCCCACAGGCGTATAAAGAGCTAAGAAAGATTGTCGTACCAGACATCCCTACCGCGAAATCGTATGCTGAAGTAAAAAGACTCCTGGAGGACCACTACAGCCCGCAATACTCCGTAATTGCCGAGAGGTGTCAGTTTAATCGCCGACATCAACGTGACGGAAAAAGCTTGCAAGAATTCATTACAGAACTCAAGCAGTTGTCGAGGAACTGTTCTTTCGAAACTTTCTTAAACGACGCTTTACGCGAAAGGCTGGTGGCCGGACTACGTGATGAAGAGACCCAAAGGATTTTGTTCGCAACTGCGCCACTGTCGTTCGAGGAGGCTTGCAAAATCGCCCTAGAGAAAGAACTAGCCGCAAAGCAGACAAGGCAAATGCACGCGCCTGACGGGCCCGCGGGTACCGTAAATGCCGTTAACAAGAGAAAATCAGGCAAGCCAACGAAGGAGCGCCAAGTTAAACAAGAAAACGCTTCGGGAAAAGCGAGTACATGCTGTCGCTGCGGAAAGGGTCATGAGCCTGATAAGTGCTGGTACCGCACGTATAAATGTAAGGCTTGTTCTAAGAATGGACACTTACAAGTAATGTGTCGAACTAAACATCGGAGCCACCGGGTTAAAGCAGTAGAAACTACTAACAGTGAATCTGATGACATAGAAAGCCACGTGGTGTTCTTCGCGAAAGAAAAGATACCCGGTTACAGCGTCAGCGTTTCTGTTCAAGGAACACCGGTGGAAATGATTTTGGATACCGGGGCAACAGTAACCCTGATGCCTCAGAGTTTGTTTAAAGAAAAGTTTCACCACGTCCATTTGCGACCAAACTAATGTGTCGCTGAAAGCTTATACTCGAGAGAAGGTGCCAGTAGCTGGCAAGGCGAATGTAAAAGTTGACTACGAGGGACAAAGCCTGACTCTACCGCTTTTTGTTGTGCAGAACGATGATAAGAAAATGCAAGTGTTGATGGGTAGGAGTTGGCTCGAGCACCTTAAAATTAACTGGAATGCAGTGTGCCTTGTCACGGCGCCCGACAAGGTAGCTGCGTTGCGGAAGAAGTTCCCTGAGCCCTTCAGGGATATACGCCGGGCATTGTCAAAAATTATGAAGCCCACATAGCGGTTAAGGAAAACAGTCAGCCGGTTTTCTGCAAAGCGAGACCTATTCCCTTTGCTCTTAAGGACGAGGTAGCAAAAGAGCTGAACAGGCTCGAAGAGCGTGGAATATTGAAGCACGTCACTAAAAGCGACTAGGCTACACCCTTGGTGGTTGTGCCGAAGAAAGCAGGGGCGGCATTAGACTTTGTGGTGATTATAAAGTAACAGTTAACCCCGTGCTCAAGATGGATGTTTACCCACTGCCGCTGCCCGAAGACTTGTTTGCGACACTGGCTGGGGGAAAAAGTCTTTTTTGTGCTGGACCTTTCGTCTGCGTGTCAGCAGGTGCCCCTGAGCGAGGAAGCCAAACGCCTGCTGACGGTCAACACTCACCTAGGGCTCTTTGAGTATCAGTGTTTGCCTTTCGGAATCGCCAGCACACCGGCGATTTTTCAGTCTTTGATGGACCAGGTCTTCCAGGGCATTCCGGGAGTCGGATGCTATATTGACGATGTTATCGTTACAGGAACCGAGCCGGGGCCTTGACTCGGGAGCTCAGCGGCGTGGAACCTCGGAGCAGGAGATTCCGCCCTGGGTAGCTGACCAGCGCGGCTGCCCTCCGGGACTGCTTCCGTTGTGGCGCTCGGTTTTGGAGTTGGGATCTCAGGAAAAACAGATCCAGTCGAAGAAGCCCAACTTGCACGGAGATGGTCCATATGGATGAACCGTGTTCGATTATTCACATTCACCAAATATGTAGTGGGGCTCACAACTTGAGTTACCAGCCCTTCTTCCCAGGACACTTCCTCGCCTCTAGTCGTTTATAGCAGGTGACAAAGTACTTGTAAAAACGACTAGAGGCGAAATAGTGTCCTGGGAAGAAGGGCTGGTAACTCAAGTTGTTTGAATGGGCGACACTTTAAAATGTATTTTAGTTCGCCTTTCTGTGGAGGATAAATATAGCGAACCATTTAGAGCAATTGAAGGATAGCAGAAACTTCGGTGGCTTCATCTGCACCCGGTTTGGTGTGGGGCAAAGCGCCTTTTAGTTGGAGGCAAAACGTTCTAACCTTAACAGCCTGGAGTTTATTTTAGATTCGCTGATCTTTTCGGAAGGTTCTAGGAGAGTCGCAAAACTTATGGCGTTTGTGTCTGTGAGTGTTTTTTTTTCATGTACAATGATCTTGACTATATAGCCCGTATAAAAGTAGCTGCGGCTAGCAGTATAGAGCCGGTCGACTATCATTTACAGTGCAGCGATTGTCATGGTATGACACTGTTAGCACGAACAAGCAATTGTATTTTCGTTTTTAGCTTTTTACTTTAATATAAAGATCGGTGACAAAAATAGTACTTTGGTGGAAATTGTTTATTTGGGGCACTAAGTTCAGCGTTAACAGCGCCCGCCAACACCCAAATTCTGTAATATGAAAAAAAAAAAAAGCGGCAGCGTATATGTCTGCGCTGACGGTACCGCACACTGCAAGGTGCCCCTGTTTACTCCAGTTGCAGGTACTACAATAAACCTTCAGTTAAATTTTTAGTTAACTAGCACTTGATCACAAGTAAACAAATCACTGAGAATAAAAGGGGATGAAGTCAGAAGAGACAAGAAGGAACTAAGGAATTAACCTAGGTTTATTTATTTATTGAAGCGTTTTTCAATTTCTGGTGGAACTGTAGCTGTGAGGTACTGTACTCCACGACCTGTGGTATCTCTGCTGTAGAATCCCATTCGACCGTGGCCTCCGAAATTCTTGCACCTTTTTTGCAGAGCCGCTTCAAATCCTTCTTCGCACAAGTAAGATTGGTAGAGTTCTGATCTATTAATTGACGCCAGGAAGAACCGGTAGGCCATACTGTGACTACAAGGGCGAACTGAAATAAAAAAAAAGTTACTTGTTCACCTTAATTTGTCATGTTTGCTTTTGGCTAGACCATAATTAAATTCGCGCTGCCATTGAGGAAAATTAACAAGCTTGCTGTATGTTTCTAATGGTATGGCTAATCCGCACTAAATCAAACGAACACCAGTCTTGGGCAAGTTACGTTTAGAAAGTATTTACTTACAGTCACAGTTAGTTCCTTAACAATGCGATTAAGTTAAATTTACTAAGGTATAAAAATAACACGTTGCAGTTACTTTCAGGATAGAGTCGTACTTTCTGAAGGAAAGTATAAAGTTTATAGAGGAAATCAATGCGATGCAGCACAACGCTACTCTTCAGAAATGAGGGTCAAAACTCATCACGAGACGCTTGCAAAGACTATATAAAGAGGATTTCCCGGCCACATACTCTTTTTTGCAGTGTTTTCAGATGACATCAAAGTTGTGTTTACTAAATAAGATCAAAGTGTATGTCATAACTCTGCTACAATAATGCCAGCCGATCGTCACTCATAACGACATGTCATTTGAACATTCAAGTTTCATGAAACTAGCGTGACCAACTACGTGACCATGACGCGGCGGGCAGTCCTCCTCCTCTCAGAAGATCAACACGGACGCACCATGCCACCTATCCGGCTGGGCATGTGAAAACATGAAGTTTTGTAAGGAGGAGATATTGGCGCGTAGGGTGCCTTTATAAGCGCACATGAAGGCTCCCTATTGGCGTGTATTACGTACGTGTTCGCTGTGCATTGCGAACACGGCCCATTGAGCCCCAACGGCAGCGTATGAAACCCGAGACACCGGTAGGGGAGAGCCGAGCGGCGGGCCAGGGAGGAGCACGGTACGCCTGGAAGCCACAGACTGGGCGCGGCCGCAGATGAAGAAAGGCTCTTCTCGTAGCACCAGCCTATTGTATCCCAAACAGTTAAATACATATATTCTTGCATCGTCCCACATTAACCGGTGGATCGCAGGAACTAAAGAAATAAACAGATGCTTTATGCGACTAGCGAACAGTGAACCTCCCGGTGAATGCGCACCGAGCCAAGTACGTAGGGTGTTGAGGCGGTGTTAGTGTAATACCATCACCTGATCAAATCAAATCGAGCCACTTTTCTTCATGTTTTTTTACTTTCAAATGTAAAAAAAAAGAACAGGCTTATTTGAGCAAAACGCGGATATAAGTTTTAACAAGGGAGATCAGTTGACTACACTTAGTTTATACACCATAAAAAAAGATAAGAAATGTTTTTGCAACAAATGAATAAATCATGTGAGAAATGCCCATCGTCGGGGGAAACGAAAAGGGGGGGGGGGGGGGGGGGGGGAGTGCACTTTCGGAATTTGATACTATATATTAAGAGAGTAAAATATTTCCCTTGCTTTTATATTCACATCCGGGTTGTACTCGAGTGCCGCCGTTGGGATAGAAGTCGACGTGTCCGATCGGACTTCTGAAGCCCAGATCACCGTTCCGAAGGGAATAGTGATTCTTTCCTGCGCTTGTATGAATGACATCCACAAACTCGGCGTCAGTGTTCGACAAGTGAACATTGTGGCCTTCGAAATAAGGAGCCGCAGGATCTAGCCCTGGGGAAAGGAGGAAAAAATGACTCGTTATTCCTGCCATTCTGTGTGGTGCGGGTGAAATATAGGAGAAAACACACTGGAATTAAGATATTCTCATTATTTTCTTTCTCATTCTATCTGTCCCTATCTCGGCATGTTTCTTTTTTTTTAATAGAGCAACTACACTTCTTTATTTCGATTTATCCAATAATTTAAATACAATTTAACGCTAGATTATCTACAGCTCGAGTGGACTCACGCGACGTGCAGTGTTGTTAATAAGCATTGCAGACAATCATAACATTTAATTACGAGTCTTTTAGGAGTTGCTACAAAAACTTCTTATAACAATATTATACTGCACGGCTTCGGGAAGTTATATTCTTTTTTTAATGAGGGAAGCATTTAACGCAGCCTTTTGTATAAAAGTGATCTTAGTGACTTCACAGTCAAATACTAATAACGAAGAAAAACTATAAGATAAACAAATATCAATCAGTGACACGCTATATGAAAAGCGTGGAAAATAAACCTATGTTCAGAGCGCAGCTCTTAGGCGCCCGTTTCGGGGTTTCGCAACGTCGGCGTAACCGCACTAAATTTAGCGGAAAAATTGAAGTCACATGACTTCAACCCAAATTCAATTGCCCGCTCAATTTAACGGGGAAACTGAATTGGTGTTTAGGTCAAGTGGCGTCAATTTTTCAGCTAAATTTAGCGGGGAAACTGAAAGGACGGGAGGATATGGAGGAGGAGCCGGGAAGAGCACGGAAGAGGAGAATGGGCGGGTACGCAAGAGGAGGAGGGGAGGGTACAGAGGAGTAAAGTGAGAGGAGGGTGTGAAGGAGGTGAAGGAGGAGGAGAGGTGGAGGGCAGGACTAGAGGGTACGGAGATGGAGGGAAATACCCTTCCCTCCGTACCCTCTCCTCCTCTCGCACAAGAGCTGCGCTCTAATTTCACACAACGGGGATTCCTAAACGTCCTTCATTTTTCATTATACTCTGATAAGCCATAACATTATGTCCACCACCACACTGTGAATGAGCACGGCGATAGTTGATGCGCGTCCGCGTTATCTCCCATCCGCTTGCTGGGGTGAATGGTAGTTAACGGCTGCCTGGCATACAGAGGTATCATTTTGGCGACTATCTGTGCACATATTACAAAACGCTGCTGACTTAGGGGTCTTTGACAGAGGGCTAATCGTGATGGGCCGTCGGCTCTGAAGAAGTATCTCGGAAACTGCAAATGTCGTCGCATATTAGCCTGCTGCCGCCGTTAGTTCCTATCAAATGGGGAAGAACGACGGTGAAACGCCCACTCAACTGACACCTATTTACAATGCAGGTCATGGTACAAGTGACACCGAGCTCACAGTTAATATGAATTCGTTTGATATGAAACCCCGCAGCAGACGACCCTTGCAACTCTTTTGCGTTCCAAAGGCGAATTAACAAGCTATTGTATTTTATTCCAACTTCGCTCCGACCGAAGCACAAGCTACAAGAGGGAGATCAGCGCTCCGAGCGGGCTTGCCGTACCTTGCTCTCGTAAAGTGAAGGCGCGTAGTTCAAACCAGCGGACTCATGCTTGTAGCATCGGCTTCGCTTGGAGCTAAGCTGATACAAAAAGGTGGGTGGTCATACTGTTTGGCTCATCAGTTTATATTCAATATGCCATATCAAGATCTTGTTGCGTTTGATTTTTTTACAACGCTAGAATAGTGGCAGCCATGTAGGTCACGCTACAAATATATTAACCTTTTTCGTAGGGGAAATACAATACCGTAAATGCTTCTTTGCATCTTTTGGGTATATAAATTGTTTTACCCTCTGAAAGAAGCGTTTTGAAAAGTCACACCGAATTTAAGTTTAAGAACTACACCGTTTTTTAGGCCGTCATGTAATGATGTCCAGCTTCACAGCGCGTAAGTCGCGTGCAGGGAAAGTTACCAGTGATCCTGCCAACCAGCAGTCCTGTGTCATTTTTAAAGTGCTTCGCAAAAAAGCTTGCAACATGTGCTCCAAAGCTTTGTCCAATTGCATGGATTGAAGATGCACTGATCGCTTTCGGGAACCTGTTCATCAGTGAGTGCACTAAAAGCGCCAGTAGCTTTCCGACCAGAGCTGTGTCATAGGCTGCTGTCCAGGGATAGAAAAAAGAATGGGTTTTTCCCCAATCTACCGTAATGATGTTGCAGTCAGCCTGTAAAAAATTATAATTCTTGATTATTACAGACATATGCGGAATGTGATCAAAAGCGCCGTTTAAGCAAACAAAAAAGTTGCTATTTATTTAGAGAATACTTAATAGAATGGATTAAAAAAACCGTTCAATTTTGTAAAAATTTATTTTATTATGAAACGAGGTGGACCCTCAGAGGCTTGGCTGGGAGTGCCTGTAAGGCCGTGAGAGCCCGCTTCCAAATGTAGAAATCTGCGCCCATAAATTACGATGTACCAGATATAAAACTGTACCCTCTAAGTTTCTACTTAACCATAGGTTCTGAATGAATAGTGAGTCGGTTGTTTTCTTGGATGGATCTGAATTATGCATATCAGTTCTACAGCTGAAAAAAAATATAGTCCTTGAAATATTCCATCGTAATTTGGGGGATGATCGTTGCGAATTTTCGGGAGAAACTAAGAGGTGCCTTATAATTAGTGACTGTTTCAACGCTATTATCTAAGGGAGAAGTATAGTATATACTCTTACTCTAAGCTTTGTTTAAGTTTTAAATTATATTGGATATATAATTCTTGTTCTCGTTTAAATATACCTAATACTCTGCTGCTCATGTGAATTCAGTCTACGGCTACATCCGAACGCATCATTGTGAAATAATTTCTCTAACAACTAGCAAAGCTGGGTGGTGTATAAAAAAGGCCCCGTTAAAATTGTTTTAAGTGGCAAGTAGAAATAAATTAATTACCCCAAGGAGAAACGAAACAAAAAATATCGCCCATGAAACTCAATTTGAAATAGTAAAATGTAACGTCGCAAATCTCTCCCCATCGTAATAATCGGAATTTAAAATGATGTCAGTTTTTTTTTCTTCTGGTGGTAATGAGAAGTAACTGAGAGATGCACTTCATCACAATGGCATGAACATTCCCAGGGGATGCAGAAACGCTAGAATCGGATGGTATTACCGACAGCACGCAGGAAGTCCTTAACTGTTTCCTTTCTAGCGCCATATATATCTCACAGATGCTTTTGAGACAGTGCTGGATTTAGACGAGCACAGTCTGGGACCTCTACTTGCATTCCGCTGTTAATTTGTTTTATTAAAAAATAGAAAAAAAAAACAGCCCAGAAGTTGTAGGGTTGTTGTCCCTGACCATGATGCGAACCCCCGGGTTGTCTACAGTCGTAAAACGGGGGACCGTGAAAATTTGCTCGTTGCAAGACGGCTGACTGTAGGTGGCGAGTACCCGGGAGAGGGACGAGCAAGAAGATTAGTGTTCGACTAAAAACAAAGACAAAAACTTTACTTGAACTTTCCCGGAGTACAGGATAAAATCAAACGACTGGGAATAACTGGACTCACGGACTTACGTTCGCGAGACAGGGTCAGGTGTCCTACTACGGGTAACCCGTCGAGCCACTGGAGGAGAACAGTAGGGGGCTCCAAGCCCGTTCAAACTCGAAGCTCACAAGCTCGGCAAGGGGTTAGCGACAGTGCGCCAAAACCCGTCCCGTTCCAAAGAGGGCTTAGTCCGAATCCCATTGGGTACAAGCCACGACGCATTCTCGACCAATCGAACGAGAGGTCATTGCTGTTTCCGAGGGAAGCATTAAGATCGGGATCTGCGGTTGAGAGTCTAAGCACCAATATGTTTATTTTCACGGGGAAGATGTACTCATCGTAGGTTTTGGTGAGTATCGTTGAACGTGCCTCACCAGAAAAACGTCCTCTCACTACAGAGCGCGGGCAGGAACCTCGAATTAAACGAGCGGCGGGTCAGACACGTTTGGGCGTCCTAGGAATCCGCCTTGCGGAGAATCCCACGATGCTGGGTCCACGCCGGAGACACGTAGCCAGGATTTTGTTTCGGGGGGGGGGGGGGGGGGGGGGGGGGCCGCCCATGACAAAATGCTGTATGAGGGGGAGGAGGGAGAGGAGGTCCCAGCAAAATTGAAGACTCCGGGGGGGGGGGGGGCGGGCCCCATGCCCCCCCCCCTGGCTACGTGCCTGCGGCGCGTATACACCGGTTGCACCCGATGCCTCCCCAGCCGGTGTTACGAACCATTGGAACCTGACCCTAGGTTTTCGACGAAGTCGTTCGAGCTCGAAACGCTGCCCAGTTTACGAAATGGAACGCCAGACGTTGATAGCCGCACTCCGAGGCCCCGAGCGTAGATGTTTGTGTCTGGATACCCCTGCCCCCGGGTGAGAGCCAAGACCCACGGGTCCTGCCATGACCCGTGGGCCATGACCCGTGGGTCTTGGCTCTCACCCGGGGGCAGGGGTATCCAGACACAAAAATCTACGCTCAGGGCCTCGCAGTGCGGATATCAACGTCTGGCGTTCCATTTCGTAAACTGGGCAGCGTTTCGAGCTCGAACGACTTCGTCGAAAACCTCGGGTCAGGTTCCAGTGGTTCGTAACACCGGCTGGGGAGGCATCGGGTGCAACCGACCTGCCATGGGGGATATATAACTCCGCTTCTTGTAGGCGCAACAAGGTAAAACGCGTGCAAGCGCTAAAACAAAACGAATGACCACGCATCCGCGCAACATATCTATAAACGAAAGCGAAAACGCCGTCTCGGTGGTGCCCAAAAGTTGCTTCCGCCTCTGCAAGCACTTTTGGGCAGAATGAAAGCGCTATGGAGGAAGAAATATGCGAGGTTAATGCATTCCGCCTCAAAACAAATTTCCCGGAAAATATGTTTCTTTTTTTCGACTTCACACCTGGGACCGTTTTTTCCGGAGCCTCGTTTTCGGCGACATTCTTTTCCAGGGAAATTTCTTCCTGAACCCGATGCCGAGGTGGGAAAAATATCAATCTAATACAGCAAGCAAGTGTTCTAAAATGCGTGTCTGGCTCGTAAGAACGCAATGTCCAGCACGCCAATAGAAAGGTAACAGAGAGGATGCGCGCACTTGGCGGTCTCGGCATTGCACAGGTCGAGACAGATAAGCGCGCGTCGTCGTTTGTTGACGTCGGGCGAAACAAAACAAGAGGTGAGAGTGTTTGGGAGGTAAACAAACGCATGACCAAACCTAGCCGCCGTAAGAAAAAAAACCTTGTTGCTTAGTGTTATTTTTTTGCTTTTAAACCTTGATTTTACGAAGTGCCAGTGTTCTTTCGGTAGCCTTGTCACCTCTGGATAGTAAGTATACCCCACCGTTTACTGTGCAGTTTCTGTAAAGACGCAAGTGTGCACTGCTAATTCAATATTAAAACTGTGGTTATCATACCTTTGCTAGAAGCGCGATGATTGTCTCGCTAATCCAAATATGTTTTCGAGATCTGCGGTATCCGTGAATTAGAATGAAAAGTGGTTTGTTCGCTCGAAGCTCTCTCATGTCTTCCAGAGATGATACCGTTCTGAAATCAATCTGTTTGGGATTTGTTTCATATCGACCTCGAGAATATAGCCAGGTAGACGCTCCTATGTAATCTGGAGAGGAAGGTAGTCCTAGAGGGTGCGTAAAGTTGTTTCCAACTTCGAAACATCCAAAGCCGTCAAAGCACATCTTTTCAACCTGGAAGTAAACATAATAAAATGGGTATTATATAACAAAAAACTTCCGGTTCAAACATCAACCTTATCACCTGCATTATCAGCTGTCCAGAATATGCTAAGCAACCACTCTGACATGCGCTCTTTCTTCGAACACGACTATTAGAGTATAAAGAAAGATAGCGTAAAAACACTCTGAAATAAAACCACGAATATCTTAATTCATTAAAAGAATACACACTCTCTCGTTTCTATAATCGTCGCAAGTAGCACTCCGGTGGCGTCAAACGCTCACTTGATTGCGAAGGAAATTATTATACACCTTTTATTGCTCTTAGAGTTCGATTTAGTAATAGTATTACTAATCATTAGTAATACTAGTAATAATACCGACAAAAGCTCTAGCAGTCCGATTCAGTGATAGTATTACTGGTCATTAGTAATAATAGTAATATAATTGGCGATATAGCTCTAGCATAATAATAATAATAATAATACTTTTATTGAATGAAAAAATAGCATGTACAGATTCAGGCCTACCGAAGCCTCATCGGGCTTGAAAGGTAGTGCCTGGCAGACAGTGACAAAATAAAGCAATGACAGTAAAACACAAAAACCCCACATAGATAAATCAAGCTATGACACACACAGAAAAGAAATCTTTATACAATTCTATTTCTGAGCGCTTTTTTCAGTTTGTATTTTGTACTAGCACAAAAAATACTCATAGGAAGCTTGTTAAAATACGAGGGAACATATTAACGGCGCATGCGTTCGCCATATCTTGTGCTGCACCGAGGTATACAGTAACGTTTTTTTGGCCTTAGGCAAGGGGCTGGGGCATAAGGTACTTTAAAAGAACTATTCCAGAAATGACGGAAAACTACAGTTTCTATCAACAGAGAGTCGAAATCCGGAAAGCATAATGCTCTAAATACGTCAGTATCTTTATCAAGACTTAAATCATAAGAAATAACTTTTAACAAAGAACGCAAAATTGAATTGATTCTTATTTTCCATCGAAGGGCACAGTGGCCGTACACAGTTATTCCATAACAAAGCACACTATAGCCCAGGGCATGAATGATATCCCAGGTAGCACACCATGTCGGCCGATACTGGGATTATGTCGGCCAGTACCGGGAGCTGTACGGCGGATCCCGGCCAGGGACGCCGGTGAGAAACCGACACCGGCCGATATCGGGGACTCGTTGTCTAAACTGGCCAGCACCAGCCGGAAAGTTCCCGATACCGGCCGACATCGTTTTCTTGCTGTAGTCACCGGCCAGTCTAGCCATGGAGTTTCCGGTGACTGGCCGACATCGTTTTCTTGCTGTAGTCACCGGCCGGTCTAGCCATGGAGTTTCCGGTGACTGGCCGATATTGTTTTCTTGCTGTAGTCACTGGCCAGTCTAGCCATGGAGTTTCCGGTGACTGGCCGACATCGTTTTCTTGCTGTAGTCAGCGGCCAGTCCAGCCGTGGAGTCTCCGCTGACTGGCCGACATCGTTTTCTTTCTGTTATCACCGGCCAGTTCAGCCACTGAGTTTTCGGTGACTGGCCGACATCGTTTTTTCGCTGCTTTCACAGGCCATTCGAGCCATGCAAGTTTTGATATGTAACCGACATGGCTTTTTCGCTGATATGGAAACTATATGATGGTTACAAATGACCGTTAGTTTGGGTATGTCTTCAATGTGCTAAAAGGTGACACCTAATATTATCCTTGGCCTAGTATTAACGCCGCGTCATCCTTAAACCACTTAACAAAGGCTTATTTCAGTTTTGTTAAAAAAGACGGGATCAAACATCGCTGTGGAATGAAAATTTAATTTGGTTTACATCTATTAATTTTTTAGAGAGCAGCTCTTAGGCGCCCGTTTCCGGCTTGAGCGGCATCACCGTCGCAGTCGCCGTCGGCGTCGGCGTAACCGCGCATTGCATTATGGGAAACGTCCCATAATGACGGCGTGTGTGACGTCACGAGGGTCCAGCGCGTTGCATTATGGGAAGCGTCCCATGATGCAACGCGCGGTCGGCGACGGCGACGCCAACATCGCCGTTGGCGTAACCGCGCGTTGGGTTATGGGAAACGTCCCATAATGCAACGCGCCGTCTCATTTGTGACCCGCGCATTGCATTATGGGAAGCGTCTCATGATGCAACGCGCGGGCAGGCGACGCCAACGTCGCCGTCGGCGTAACTACGCGTTGAGTCATGGGAAATGTCCTATAATGCAATGTGCAGTCGCATTCGTGACCCGCGCATTGCATTATGGGACGTTTCCTATAATGACGTAACAATTGACGTCACGTGTGACGTCACAAGGGTCCCGCACGTTGCATTATGAAAAAAGTCCAATGATGCAACGCGCGGGTCACTCGTGACCTGCGCGTTGCATCGTGGCGGCGAAACTTGCTTTCGATGAGTTGGGCATTTTACTGCGGCACTGCGCTTCCACATGTTCTCAACGATAAGTCTCAGGGCTTACACCGGGTTTTAAAGAGCTTCTTCGACGAATGACTTCGAACGAGTAGAAAACGTGTCTTCAGCATGTTGCCGCCAGCCTCCGGAACGCTCCAAAAACGCGATTTTTCAACATGCAAAATCGCCGATCGGTGGCTTCACTCTCGCGCTGCAGCTGCAGCGACCAAGCGGGGATGCGCGATCCAGCCCTTCGCCCAGGCAGATGCCGAGCGCTCCGCGCAAGCAGTCGTTGAGCGGTCGGCCTCAGTAAGCGATCCACCCAGTTGCACGCGCTGCCACCGCTTTCATAGCGTCTGCCCTCGCTTTTTAACAGTTTCGGTTCCCATTGCTATCTTGCTGAAAGCATGAAGTTCTGATCGGAACTTCATGCTTTGACAAAAATGTTGATTGTTACTACTTTATTAACGGTGACCCCGACGTTGAGGCAGTATTTATTTTTCCTTACAGTTATATAAACCCGATGAAGACAACTACAAGTGCTTTTGTACGAGCCGCAGGATGCAATAGGCCCTTTGCAAAAATCCCAAAAGCCCGCGCGCGCCGCGCTTCAAATAATGGGAGTCCTCGGTACGCCCCCCCTCCGGCTTCCACGTGGCATACGCGAGCAGGCACAGGTTACCACGGCAACAAAGCAGCCGAGTTGGGCCGTTGGTTGGGCGAGCGACGATCCGACGGCTGCCCCTTTCGTATCCCTCTCCTTTGTACCGGTTCTGTCGTCTGCTGCACCAACGCTTTGTCGAACCTGGTCGAAACCTGCCATGGTTGCGGTGCAAACTAGATGGATTTGGTGACACTTCAATACGTGAAGGTAAGTTCCGACGAATAACGTATTGGAATGAGTTCACCTGTCGCGATGCCTTTACGCTGCCACAGATACGGTACGCCGGCAACGACGTACGACTCGGCGGGATGGCTGCAACGGCTGCTGGCGGTAGCTGCCGGGACGCGCGCGCAGTCGCGGAGGCGCAACGAGAAAGCGCGTGCGCGTGATCTGTACCGAGGGTTCCCAAAATTTCCTGGCGTCGTGGCGCTGTACGTTTTGCAAAGGGTCTATCAAGCAATACCAAACACGTATGCCGTAAAGCGACCGTCATCTCGGAAGGCGAGTTCCATCTGAGGGGAATTTGTCGTATTGTCTTCTAGCAAACGACATACCTAGCTCTTCATCCGAATAGGTGCGCACAACGTCTTCGACGTAACGCCATATCTTGGGCCTCTTCGCTGGCAAGGCGAATGAGTCGGCGAAGACTTCGCCGAGAACGGCTGCCTCGTCGTCACTCGAGCTGGAGCTAAGCTGGTATCTTCGTCGCTGTCGCAGATTTCGCTGCTACTGCGTTTTCTTATACCTCCTCAAATTAACTGCAGCGATGTCAGCGCCGCAGTATGCTCGAGCCAGTCGGTCATGACAAGAGGAACGAAAGCAAGCACAGCAAGAGAGCCCACCCAGAAATCGAAACAAAAAAACAGCGAAACTCCTTCATTCCCCCGCGGCAACGTTGATAACGAAACTGAAATGTTGCGAGTGACTACAGATCGTACTCCCCCGAAAAAGGCTGCGCGGAGAACTACTCCGGGTCCGAGCGGTCTGTCCGAGGAAGACACAGTTCAGGCGGCACATTCGTTTCTTACATCTTTCTGCATGATCACAATCAAAACATCACGTGCACCCTATATTCAACCAGAAAGGGTCACTACATTTAACTCTTACGCGCTTATTAAAACCAGATCTGCTTCTCGCTACCACTGCTAGGGGATTCTATGGACTACTTCCATAAACCCCTGCGTGCAACACGGCGCACGTTGCTCTTTGGAAACTAGTTGGCCAGGGAGGAGAGTGGCATGGTTTCGGTTTCGATCGGCAGCGTGGACTATTAACGGCCGTGATCTCACGTTTTTTGGTCACGAGAGCATCATTTTTGGTCTCTAAACTAACCTAAATGGCCAGACCTCGAATCTATAGCACAAGCCCGAGACGTATAGCTTGTCTTCACACATGCTTGTTGCATTTTTCTACACTATCGAGCCTTTCTGTTTGCGTTTCGAGATATATGTGAACGAGCCAGTGCTGGAAATCTCGACGCTGCGTAGCTCGGGTATCTTGCTTGTCTACGAGTCAACAAGCTGTAACGACCAATAAGTTTGCATACATCAAACTCGACCCTTTACAGCTGGTCAGGAAGTTTGTTTTGTGCGTCCATAGACGAAATATTATTTTTTGCAACTACTGTTTTTCTTAATACGCCTAAGTACGTGAGGTAAAACTTGGGGGCGCCATTGAAAAGCTCAATTTGAACACACATCTTATCTCTTATCTGCACTGACCCGCAGCACTGCACGAAGCTAAGTCCCCACCCGCTTGCATTCCACTAATATTCAACATCGCGTACGCACATAAAATTTTTCTGCAATCATATAGGCACATTCCCACACACAAACCTTTTTAAGAAAGCAAAAGTCGAGCAATTGTGTGAAGAATGTCGCACCGTTCGCCGGAAGTGCGTCGGACGGGCGTGAACCTCTATGCGGTGTGCCA